GACCATCCAGCCAATTCCTTATCCATTGAGTGGTCAATCTGTCAAATCCATGTCTCTCCAAGTTGGAGAGAAGGATGTCATGCGGGACGGTGTCGAAGGCTTTGCACAAGTCCATATTGAATTCAGTAATGAATAATAAATAGGTAAATATATTCAAAAAGGACTTTAACCCACTAGCCTCAAGACAGGATACTCAAATGTTCAATGGTGGCATATTTTTCCTCTCAAATTCAAAAGGCTCAAGAAATACACACCTTAAACTTATATATAAACTGCTCCAAAAGAAAATGGTGTGCTTTTTCAATACTTTTAATGGCTTGTTCTCTTTGTTCAAGTCACAGTGAAAGAAGCCATTGTGCCAGGCAGCAGATAAACGTCAAAAAACTCATTACAAAACCTGAGAGAAACCTATAGATGTCATCCATGAATGATTCATCATACCAGAGGGACCAATGACCAGTCTGAACCTTCATTTCGGTGCCTCTTGCTCCATACAATCTCAGTTCTCATCTCTGTTAAATATGTAATACAAAAGAGAAGACTTTTTTTTTAAAAGAGAGAGAAGTATCTTACGTCATAGTTGCTCCTGGGTCAGCAGTCATCTGGTTGGTCACAAACACGGCCACATTATATTCTGCAATAGAAAACAATGCAGAGAAAGTGGACTATGTCCAATCAGAATTCCAAAATATTCTCCTATCCATGGTAAAAGCAGGGCTGCTGCTGGAGCATTTCAAATTTCAAGTGAAAGAGAAGGAAATACTCTTTATGTCTGATGGCTGAAGTTAATCAGGAGACAGCCTAAATTTGCTCCTGTGTGACTTCAGCTGTAATATGCCAAAAATGAGCACTTTTCAGAATTCCACTGAACAAGTCTTTCTCAGTTCCCTCCTTCTCTTTTGGCTCCCTGCCCTCAGCCCCCTCTCCCTCCTTTTGTTTCCCTTTTTTTTTTTTTTTTTTACTTCATGAAAAAAACATTTACTCATTCCTCATCAACATTTCTGAGATGTTCCAAAAAGGAGGAACCCTATTCATCCTGTCATCGTCCCTCAGAGCATTGCAAAGTACTGGGAACATGGCAATGTGCATGGCCTTTTTATCTCTCTGTGCTTTCATCCTTTTTTCTATTCTTCATTTTTCTTATGTATTTAGTCTGTCAAAATTTGGGGAAGACAATTTCTCTTGTCCAGTTCTACATGGCCGGTTCTACAGCCTATTCTCTCATTAAGGACTTCTCTGAACAGTATTTCTAGGAAAACTCTCAATGTTTAATATTTCTAAAGACTCCTTAATCTGTCATCCTGAAATAATATATTATTATTATCAGTTTGATCTTTTTGGTAACTGACAGAGGTGTAGAGTGAGGAAAGATTCCTGGGCCAATGCCTGATGGATAATACACTCGGGCTATGAGGTGGTCATGCTACCAACATCTACTGTTTCGGTAACTCCAGTCCATGCTTTCCAAATTTTGCAATTTTCCCTTACCTTCTGATATTTTTTGGAGCCTTGACAGCATCTGAGCAAGTTTCTGTTGTCGTTCAGCCAACTCTCCACGACCACTGAAATCCACACGGAAAAGTGCCATTATGGAGTCAATGATCTGCATTGTAATTAGGCTAGATTAAGTAAATTTAGTGAAAGAAAATAGGAAAACATATTCTGAAAGCAGTAAGCATACAAAAAAAAAACCACTAGTCTTGTACCAATAGCTTGAAGATACCAGCTTCCTCATGGAACTTGGCTGCTACATAGTCAAGCAGTTCCATCTGATGTTCACCTGGTGGGAAGGACAGTTGCCAAATGAAATTAGGACCAGAAGGAGCTCTGAAGCAACAGAGGCCTGAATTTTAAAATTCTGCTTTAAATGTCTGCACTGTTTATATTTTCACTGCCAGCAGTTTTAAATCCAGTGCCCAATAACAAGCTACCTGTACAGTACCCAACAGTGCCTGTGCTTCTGCAGGTTCCAGTTTCCACTTGCCCAGCTAACAAAGCTTCTCTGTGAAAAGCTTCACAACAAAACTATGTGTGAAGACAACTTTTTTGTTGTGTTAAGAACTGAAAAGCAATATAAACATTTGAATTTAATGTTGAATTAATTGACATGCAAAAATTGTGTTAACCGTATTGTTCACGTTTATATTGTACTCCTACAGTAAAAGTCCCATTTAAAACTTCCTTGAAGTTTTAATGCCATGTTTTGTGACAGAGTGTGTTGGAGCTGTCTCTGTAAAGTTCCCTTCACAAGATCGTAGAGAATTTATCAGCAGCATCTATAGAATTTTGCATTTGGGCAATCATGGTTACGTTAATTGGTGCTTCTCTTACTAAGATGCTGCGCTGACACTCATCATATACACGGCAGAGTTCACTTACTGTTGTGGCAAACTGCAAAACTTGATTTTTCAGGTAGTGCAGCTGAGCTGGAATCCTTGTACAACACCAGAAACAGAAAATGGAAGCAAGCTTACGACTTCTTTTGTTAGCAGCAAAACATTCTTCGTGATCCTCAGTGGGCAATCTCAGGTAATAAACTGAGAACTATTAAAATGGGGCCCTTTTAGAGAAAAAACACAGATACCATGCCAGTTGCAATAATGGTCTTACTAGTATATGCACGTGCATACAGCACGTTGTCAAGTACTGCATCGTGGTCAACGCTGAAGCGATCAGCAATGTCACGAAGACGGTCTGGTCGGCTGGCATCAAAGTTAAGGATTTCTCTTTGTACAAACATGCTCTGGAAAGAATAAAATTCCATTCCAAAACAGAACTATGGAAAAATAAAGAAGAGTATTTATTTTGATCCTAGAGAAGGCTGACTTTTTCTCTTCACACTGTCCCACGTACCCTAAAGATAGTTTAGGGCTCACGATGATAATTGGTTTGTGTTTAGGGTTTGAGGCAGAGGGGAGGTTGACATATGGATATCTGTGCTCTAGGAATTTAGCTGTGAGCAAAACCTATTTATATGCAGTCTACCACAGACATGAAGTGTTAAAAATAGTGTTCAGTACTTAGATGAATTTCTCTTGAAGTAAACAGAAAAGCTTCTATCACCTGTCTCATTATCAAGAAGGCATATTAGACTAAAAAAAAAAAAAAACAATTAAAATAAAATCTGTGTCTTAACTCTAATTTTTCCAGGTTGGATTATTATCAAATGACAGAGAAAAAAAGTCACTGCCCTGTGGGCCACTGCACACTGTGCTCTCCAGGCATTCTGGGTCAGTCATAATGTTTTACACGTATGAAGGTATCTGGAGCCTCCTATTTGCTTATAACAAAACGAACTGTTTTTCCAGTTCTTCGTAGCTGTAGCTTTCAACAGTCCAAAAGATACAAAGTGTTTTCAGTATCAATGAAGATGATCTTTCCACCTGTGTAGCCATTTGGTCCTGGAAGCTGAGCTGTCACTACAGTGAATCATAGAAGATCAAAATAAAAAGCAGGAAAAATATATTCTTACTCCCTCTATTATTATTTTTTAATAACATACAACTGCTTATCCATATCACAGAGAACCACCAGTTTTAATCAATGGGGAAATCAGGAGTATCTCAAGTCTCACTGCCACCTTGAGAAGAAACTCAAGCCTTTTTTTGTGATTTGAGATCACAGGAGGTTTAATTAATGTTAAAATTGTGTCTTACTCAGTACCATCACTAAATCTGTATATTTTATGTTGAAAATAGGTAAGGGTATTATTAATAAGTTCTTATGCACAAAGCATCCTCTGAGTCCTCTGCCCAAATTAATGGTATTGATTTAGTAGGTTTTTTTTTTTCCCAGCTGCAACTCGTATGATCAAAAATTCTTTGGATATGAATTTTTCCTGATACACGAATAGTTACTGATTGTGGGTTTAGTCTCTTTGGAGTGAATAAGCTAAAATATTCAATTCAGTTGTAATCATTCATGCAAAAGGGTATGACTCTGCTGACCATTTGACTGTGCTAAATGGAAGAGGCCTTATTTTTCCAAAAGCTGCCATAATTTCCTTTATAATACAGGGTTTGTTTAAGGGAATGTTTGCCTACCCAGTGTCTGGTAACTATATGGAATATAGTCTGGTAACTACATTCCAGCAGCATTAGTAGCTATATTAGTTATTATTTACTTCTATTTACACATGGAGAGGTATCGCTGGGAAATCAGAGTCCTGCTGCATTTGGCACTGCCCAAATACGGTGACTGCCAAAGCCTTTGTTTATCCAGTTCCTGTCAGCCAGTAGTATCCTTTTGTTGCCCTTTCAGAATGTCATATTCAGCAAAACCTCTTGAAAACAGAAAATTAGAAGAGTGGCTGAGAAAGAATCTTGCCTTTGCCCTTTTCTGAGCAAAATGCCCCTGTCCACCTGCAACCCGTATTTGTGCTCTGCCTTTCCAGATGGCGTGTGTCACTGATTTCTCTAAGACAGTCTATTATCTTCTCTCTTCTTATGGCAAAACTTACACTGATGTCAACAGTATTAAAAAGTAATCACTTATATGAGTTCTCTACTCAAACACAATTAATGGAGGTAAGAGTTGCCAAAGGTCTGTTTCACTGCATTTCTAGAGATAAAAGATTCTGACTTGTCTCCATGTGTTTAATTCTGCTCTAGTTGTAAAGAGTGGATTCACTGAGAAGAAACAGCTCTCTCTTTTAAGGTATTACACCTACCACAAAGGGTGTGGGATAGCTGGGTTTTGCCTGTCCGGAACTCTGTTAAATAAAGAAAATTTTTTTTTAAAAAAAGGTCAGGGTTTCTTTTTCTGAGTTTTCCAGATTCAGGAGTTCTGCAGTTAGAAACACTCTAATTTTATTCACCTCTATCTCTACCTTTTAAAATCATTTAACCCAAATTTATAAATCATATTCTGTGCAGTAGAAATGTGTTGAATGAAAAGCAGAATCTCAAATGAATCATAGAATCATAGAACAGTTTCGGTTGGAAGAGACCTTCAAGATCATTGAGTCCAACCTTTGTCCTAGCTCTATCAACACCACTAAACCATGTCCCTAAGTACAACATCTACCCATCTCTTAAACACCTCCAGGGCTAGTGACTCCACCACCTCCCTGGCCAGCCTGTTCCCAATGCCTGACAACCCTTTCAGTAAAGAAATTCTTCCTGATATCCAGCCTGAACCTCCCCTGGTGCAGCTTAAGGCCATTTCCCCTTGTTCTATTGCTTGTTACTAGGGAGAACAGACCAACCCCTGCCTCGCTACAACTTCCTTTCAGGTAGTTATAGAGAGCGATAAGGTCTCCCCTCAGCCTTCTCTTCTCCAGGCTAAACAGCCCCAGAACCTTCAGCCGTTCCTCGTATGGGGGCCCAAAACTGGACGCAGTACTCGAGGTGTGGCCTCACCAGTGCCAAGTCCAGGGGAATGATCCACTCCCAGCTCCTGCTGATACCGGCCAGGATGCTGTTGGCCTTCTTGGCCACCTGAGCACACTGCCGGCTCACGTTCAGCCGGCTGACAGTCAACACCCCCAGGTCCCTCTCTGCCTGTCAGCTCTCCAGCCACTCCTCCCCAGGCCTGTGGCGCTGCTGGAGGTTGTTGTGGTTGAAGTGCAGGACCCGGCCCTTGACCTTATTGAAACTCATGGAATTGGCCTTGGCCCAGCGATCCAGCCTATCCAGATCCCTCTGTAGAGCTTCCCTACCCTCAGGCAGATTGACACTTCCACCCAGCTTGGTGTCGTCTGCAAACTTACTAAGGGTGCACTCCATCCCCTCGTCCAAATCATTGATAAAGACGTCAAACACGAGTGGCCCCAGTACTGAGCCCTGGGGGACACCACTTTAAATGCTTTAATTTGATCATGACTGACTGCTAAGGTCGTTCATTCTTTCCTGTGTAGAAGTTAAAACCACATGGCACCTGTGGAAAAGTGTTAACTGTGGGAGAGGAAATGGCTGATTCCACTGATCAGGCCCAGTTTCATTTTCAGTAAAATGACCAAGGGAAAGCTTATGAGTTTATTAATCCCATGATATCAAAGCACCTTAGTCTCCAGTTTATCTTTTCTAAAGGGAAGAGTACTGTGGTTTATGAGCTCTTATTGAAGTGTTAACCACTAACTGGTCAAATTTACTATAATAGTAGCTTAATTTCAATTTCAAAATCTTACATGAAATGCAATGTATCCTAAGTGTGCATAAATAAAATATCTTTTGTGGCAGTTTTGTTACTGGAAAGGAACACAGTTTGCGTCAGAGAAATCTTTCCTATATGGCACATTAGTAATAGTATTAATAGTCCAGTAGTACTCATTTAATGTGGTTTTCTCACCTCCAAAGGCCTCAGTGATCGCCATGCTTTCAATCCCACCACCCAGAAGTTTACTGGAAAAAGGGAGAGGATTATGATATAGTTAAAGCCACAAAATCACAAGAGGAAAGTAAAAAATGATACATTTTTGCTGCTTTAAGAAAAGTTATCTCTGCTCTAAAGCCCCTCACTTGATGCATAAAGTGCAGGGCACTAAATGATCACTGATTTATAAAGAATTAACTCTGTCTTAACCTCAACTCTGTCTCAACCTCCCTTTCTGTGTGCAAGAGAAAGATCTACAGAAATTACTACTGGAAAGAAAGAAGAGAGAAAATACCTTTGAAAATATAACATTCCATAAAAGTATTTCAAGGGAGGTCTTGAAGACATAATTTTGACCCGAGACCTGCAGCTTGTTTTGGCTAGGTGAAAAAATGATGATACGTTCAGGATTTCTGGATGCAAACTGTTTATTTACAATGACTGTACAAAGTCCAGTTTCCCCTCAGAAAAGAGGCTGGTTTTGTTGACTACTGATGCAGGCATCTTTGAGCCAGCACTAGCTCCAAAGGCAAGGTACCTTACATGTCCTAGCTGAATATTTATTCCTTTATATTTTTGTGTCTCGTTAAAGGTGATAAATATGATTATTGGAACAGTTTGGACTAAGGAAGGATTTAAGTAGAGATAAGCTTACTCAAATTCCTGGCTGCCAGTAGTAATATGAAATACCAGCTTCCGTTTTTCGCTGTACTCAAAGGCGGTCAGGAAGCCTGGTTCCTAAGGAAGACCAAAGAGAACACGGGAGGTTTATTTTAGCTTTAACTTGAAGGTAAAGTGCAATGTCCCATCTAAGTATCTTCTCTCCACCTTAGCCTCCTTTACCCTCATTTACCCATAGGTTGGGTATGAAAAGCACCACAGCATTTGTCTGGTTGTTGTAGAGTATAAAGCATTATCCCTTTAGAATAAAACGCAGAATAATTTTCAAAATTATCTTGATGATGTGGTGAAAACATCTGTTAAGAGAAATGTCGCACAGCATTTTGGAGAGGCCAGCGTAAGTTTAAATTATGAGGAAAGTGATTGGCTTACAATAAGCTTGTTTGCAGCTTCTTTAATCTTGTCCACTTTGGCCTCTGAAAGCCCTTTTACATTGCACAGTGCCCGTCTTGTGGTCATCTGGATTCCTTTGATCGTGCAGATCCCAACTGACTTCAGTTTTTTAATATCCGCTACGTTCTGTGAAGACAGTTCCCTTCTGTGAGTACTCGTGACAGTTAACAACCAGAAGGCAAAGTAAACCTTTGAAACATATTTTATTATACATTCACATGTCTTCTCACCAAGAAAGAAGCCGATTTATAGTAAAGTCTTTGTTCGGTAATTTGTGACACCAACAGAAAATTTTCAGTAACAATGGTGTGAGGGATCATGGTGCAGAGACCAGATCCTGGTGCTTTTGATGGAGAGGTATCTTATCCCTGTTCAGTCTTTCTAGATCCAAGCTGGCAGCAAAGAAACAGTACGGATTATTTCAGATAGTCTGAAGCCCACCCAGGTAAACCCTGTAACACACAATCTGTCCTCGGTCCCTTAGCACAGCTAATTTGTAAACCAAATAATCTGATTGTGGCTAACTGGGAGCTGACTCACAAGGATCATCAGAAGCTGACTCTTAACTGCTGTTTCTCCATGTTCACAGTATGTCCAGTTTAAAACACACGTATCCTCCAGATCTGACCGATAGTTTGGGCTGGAATGAACTACTAGAGTTTTTCATAAATTGGAGACAGCATGACTTCAGTCAGCGCCCTACTGACACATTTTGCCTCCTCTCACTTCATTTAATGACTGACATCAGTGGAAACTTTAAGGCAAGTAACAGATTACTCAGAAGAAAACATACTATGTGAAAGGTGTGGGATAATACTTCAATTTACCATTTCAAGCCAAGATTTTTCTTTGAAAAAACCTATGAACTGGATGCATCATCTATTTATCTAGAGCATGTGGGTGCATAGGACATAAGAAGGGAGAGGGCTTATGCAAGAAATTAGTCATGTTCACTTGGAAGCTTATTTCTCATCCTTTGATATGTTTTTCGATTATTACATTAATAGGGATGGGTGAGGTAAAATCAGTCACGAATAAAAATGTCTCTTCCACCCAAAAGAATATGACAATCAGCAACATAAAAAGGATTGAGCTGGTTTATTGTTTGTTTCTATTAAGACAACAGACTGCTACTGCAAAGACCAAACTTTGAATGCATTACCCTGCTTCTGCGTTTCTTCAGTGGCTCTGTCTTTCTGATCACATCACACTTAAGGCTGTTGCACATTACAAATCTCCGTGTGGTAGACCTGGTTATAGAAGTTCTCTCCCGCACAGATCCACCTTTCACCGACAGCTTAGGTGCCAACCAAGGTCCTAGGATACATCCTGCCTCCTTAGACTAGAGTTCAGTACT